GTCTTTACAGTAACACATTCCTTAAACACATGACATGCGTAGTAAATGAGAGCTACAGTAAGGAGGTTCTTAAGCAAATAGAGATATCCACATACAAATAAAATGTGAGTATATTTAAGTGTTTAAATGTGTAAAAATCACTTGACTGTTTGGTGTGTTATTTTAGCATGAATGTAGTTGAGGAGGTTTCTCTACCAAGCAAATTTCCTACCACTTAATCATAAAATACTTATAAATAAATACTTATTAGTACTGATTCTTCTAACAGTGAAGCGTGTAGACCACATGAAGGAGAACTTACCATAATTGCATGATTGGTACATTCAGAAGGAAAAGTTTGTGGAGCTTTATCTCATCATCATATCTTGTTGGAAGTTTTCTTATTTTTGTACTTCAGTTGTTATATGTGTAATTTAAAAACCAAAGGCTTCTGTTAGTATTTTCTTAGAATTTTGGAAAAAATTAGATGTGCTGGCCTCTACAAGCGTTGGAATTAAACTAAGCCAACATAAAACATCTATTTCTGTTGAAAATATTAATCTCTTTTCCTTTAGTTGAAGCTTTTCACTTTATTTTTCAGGCTGTGGCTTCACTGCCGGAAGACATGAGACCTGGTCCTGATCTGTATGGTTTCCCATATGAAATAGTGATTTATGTTGGCATTGTTGGAGCCTTTTCAGTTCTCTTGTTGCTATATAGAAGTTACCATTCGGTAAGTGTCATGGTTTAATCCCAGCTGTCAGCTAAGCCAAGCACAGCTGCCTGCTTGCTCGCTCCCCCCACATCAGGATGGGGAGAGACTTGGAAGAGTAAAAGTGAGAAAACTCATGGGTTGAGATAAAGGTTGTTTAATAGGTAAAGCAAAAGCTGTGAGTGCAAGCAAAGCAAAGAATTTATTCACCACTTCCCATTGTAAGGCAGGTGTTCAGCATCCTCAGAAAAGCAGGGCTCCGTTATGTCTAAAGAAAGAAGATAAATGCCATCTTTCCGAATGTTCTCTCCTTCCTCCTTCTTCCCTCAGCTTTATGTGCAGAGCACCATTTCATATAGTATGGGGTATCCCTCTGCTCAGTTGCAGTCAGCTGTCCCAGCTGCATCCCCTGCCAGCTTCTTGTGCACCCTCAGCCTGCTCACTGGTGGGGTGGTGTGAGGAGCAGAAAAGGCCTTGACTCTGCGTGAGCACTGCTCAGCAATAACGAACACATCCCTGTGTTGGCAACACCGTTTTCAGCACAAATCCAGAACAGAGCCCCATAGTATCTACTATAAAGAAAACTGACTCTATTCCAACCAGAACCAGCACAGTAGGTGTTAAAGTTACATGCACATATGTAGAGTGCATTAATGGTTTGAATGGCTTGAATTGAAATTATTATTCTTTTCAAGATACGTAATGTTTCAGAGTTTTAAATCTGTTGTGATTTAATTTAGAAACTCTCTAAAAGACAAATTGAGAAGTAGCTTGTTTTGTCAAGACAGTAAGTGTTCAGACATGTACTGAGTGACTGCTGTCATTAGAGCACATGCGATGAAACTGGCTGTAATAAGGCTTCTTTTTTCCTTCCCTTTTTAATTTCTACACCAGACTTTCAAAGTCAGCCCTTAAAGTTATTTTCATGGGATATAGATCGCTTCCTTAGGGTGTATGTGTTGCTGTATGTATCGATAGCTCTGTGATTACCCTGGTTATGACCAGACCAGCTCAGATCTTTCAAGCTAGTTGTAAGCAAAAGCAGTCCAGATGGATTCCCATCAAGGGGGTAATGTTAAAACTCTTTGGACAGTGACCTTGTTTCTGTTTACTGGAACACTGAACCAGTTTCACTGTGTGCTGTTCTTGAGTACTAAGCTGATGCCTTTGAGAAATGCAGTACTGAAATCTTTTAACGCACAAATCATATTTTTGAGGTAAAGTTTGTCTTCTATTCTGAGTAAATAAGGATCTGAGTAATAACAGCTGCCTTCCATATTCTCCCTACTAATGAAATGGGGTCACTGTCCATAATTCAGTATTCTAAATTTCTCCACAGTTTTTGCACATTGTTAAAAAGACAGAATGTGATTTTGGTGCAAGGTGTAATGATGCCCATGTTTGAAGGTGGGTTGCATAGTAGTTTAGTTTTTTAGACATGAGCAATTACATTTTTAGGATTCTATAACCTTAAATCTGGAAATATGCCACCTTACTCTGCAGCAGCGATTCCGATGGTCTGGAAGGGGATCTGTATTTGTATAAGTAAATGTATTTATAATTTGAGTCATTCCTTTTATTTTCTAGCAGCATCCCTCAAAGTGGTATGAAAGAGGCATTTCAGCTGAAATCAGTCAAGCAGCAGCTCTAGTATTGTTTTCCTCCTGAACATGTCACTGAAGCGTTAGATATCATGGAAGTTACTGATAGTTTAGAAAATACTTAGAACTGCACTGACTACTCCTTGAAGAATTAATTGTTACTTACTCAAAAATAACAGGGTTTGGTTTTGGGGTGATGATAGGCTAAGGTGTGCTTATAACTTTCTTGCCCTTTTTCTGTTACGTGGACTCCTTGGCCATACCATGGCTTTTGAATGAGGAGGAAACAGGAAATCTGAGGCACTGATTTTATGTAAGGCACGTGATCCAGGCTCAGCCTTGAGAGGGCTGCTGTGTTGTAAAGTTTCTGTGGGTTTAGCCAAGTTCTGCATCTCTTGTCCAGGCCACTTGTGACAGATTTTGTCCTACAGTTTGTTAGATTTTGATTCTAGGGCACTAGATCCCATGTGGCAGCTGCAGATTTGGCACTTCCTACCAAGTTGCATCTGGGCAGGATGTCCATCAAGTAGTACCATGACTCCAGCTGAACTGTTAAGTATTATAACATGGATTTTTTTCCTCATAGGAAGTTAAGTCTGAGCTGGCATGTGGAGCTTCCCCCTCCCTCCCCTTCCCTGCTCTTTTGGCTATGCATGTGCACTATTACTTTGTGTTGGCAGTCATGGTTATGTGACGACCATACAGAGGTGTGTTATAAAACTGATCCAGATGACAACTAACCTCCTTTCCCTTCTTCTCTCTGTTTAATTAGAGTGGGAGAAGGACAGGGCAAACACAGCCATGCAGGGAGTAAGAGCAGAGGATGCAGTTGCCCATTCTTAACAGCAGCCTGTACTGATATCCTTTTTTTATTTTTTTTTTTTTTTTTTTTTGAGTTACATGGTTAAATTGATCATGGAACCACAGCTTAAAAGATTACTTTTCAGGTACTATGCAAGAGTAATTGATCAGACATTTTCAGTATTTATTCTTTTTATTTCAGGTTAGAAGTCGACTTTATGTAGGTAAGCTTATTTTTCATACTTTTGTTTGGGGGTTTTTTGCATATGACTTTTTTTTTATTCCTTTCTTTTTTCTTTTTTTTTTTCCCCTACTTTGAATGATTTGAATGTTGCATCACTTAACTGTTCGGTTTTCTGTCTTGGTTTGGTTTGTTTTGTTTTTCAGGAAGGGAAAAACAGCTTGCCAATAAAATTGCTGAACTAGTTGAAGACAAATGCAAAAATCTTGAAAAACTCAGCCTTTGCAAAAAAGAGGTAATGGTCCTCATTTATTGCTTTCAGATGTGTCACAGAAATGGGCTCAATTTATCAAGTATTCTAAGTATTAAACTTACTTAAAAGTAAGGTGTTAAAAGGCTTTTAAAAGTGATTCTTCAAATGCTTTTTTCTGTCAGTACCTTTAAGTGCAACAAAGATGTTAGCAAGTTCTGCCTTTAACTCTTAATACGATATATTTCATTGGAAGTGACATCAAAATGTCTTTGTTTTGTGGCACTGGAATAATCTAATAGGGCTAAGGCTTTACCGATTTACAGCAAGGTGCATTTGTGAATATTTAGGTGGTGGCTATGTTTCAGACTAGAGCATCATAAATTAATGTTACTGTTCCAGCCAGTTCTTTACATACATTCTGACATGAATTATTTCCTTTTCAGTTTGAAGATTTAGAATTGTCTCTGAAAGATGGTAACATTATGAAAGAATTGACAGACACATCTTTTTTTGAGGTAAAAAGATAAATGGAAATTTTAACTTCTACAGTTTAAGGCAGTATTTCAGGAAAATGCTGGGAAACAAAAAAAAGGAACACGAAAGAAAAATAAGCAAAAAAACCCAAACAAAGCGGAAACCTCTTTAATTGTTTTGAGAGCATTATTAATTTAGTCTTGGATTACTGAAAATGGCATAAGTGAGACATGTCAATTAAGAGAAGTTGTTTTAGCAATTGCATTAAAAACGATTGGTACTGGAGCAAATGGCGTGTTAGACAGTATTTATTTTTTAAAAAAGTAAATTGTTTCTAGGAAAGAGAGACAGTAGTGCATGAAGCATTTTTTCTCAAATCTGACTGAATTTATAGCTATTTTATAGACTACTGGGAGCATATTTGTAAACAAGAATTACCACTACATTGTTTGTATTGCCCAAACTGAGAATATATTTGTAAAAGAGTTCAAAAAAAGTGAATCAAATACCTAGTAGGCACTATAAAATTTATGTAACTGAAAAGCAAATAGATGTATTTCATTTTGCACCTCAGGTCCTATAAAGCTGATTGTTACAGGTTTTGTTAGCATGCAAGAGTCTCTAGAGTACTTTCAGATTTACCTTTGATATAGTTAAATTTGTTAAATGTACTTTGCTGTCATATTTAAAACATACTTGTCATCTTCATATGTAATTAATGTCAAATGTTTTATGTTAACTGTAAAAACAATTTGATTTAGGAAATGCATGAAAAACTGAACAAGTCGAACTTGGAACTCAACCAAGAAATAGAGAATTTAGAAAAAGAACTGGAAGAAGAAAAATCAAAGCAATCAGAAAATGATAACTTGGTAAGAATAAATGGAATCTTGTCTTTGTTACTATTTATCAAAAAAAATTCCCACAATAAAAATCTCAGTGGAGAAGACAAACTAATCTCTTTGGGGTTTTTGAAACAAAAAATACATTTCTGATTTTGTATCCCCTCATAGTCCCTGTGGCGTATCAGAAAAATGACACCCATATGGGAAAACACTCAAAAGATGAAAAGCTGTGTTTACCGATTTGGCAGTAAGAACCTTCTCAGTTTGAAAATTAGAATAACTTTATTAATCGCCTGGCCCTTTTGAATCAAATCTGTGGAAGAAGCTATATGACAACTAATAATTTTCAGGTGGCTGAAAGTCAGGAGAGAGTGGAGTCTTTAGAGAATGAAGTAAAATCTCTCCAGTCACAAATCGATGAGGTATGTGCAGTCTTCATACTTCCTGTTTTCCAATCTTTACAATATCTCTTATTTCCACGTAGTTACTGGTGGGGGTGTTTTGATGGTCGACTGGTTGGATTGGGTTTTTTGTTTTTTCTATTAAACATGCAGAAATAATACACTGTGTAAATCAAGACTTTATAAGGCTTGATACTTTTTGGGTGACTTGATTTAACAACTTCAAATTTCATGTAATGACTGAAAGTTATTGGGAAATAGAGTTACCTTGTCTTTGCTTTCTTACTCTACAATGATACATAGTGTTGCAAAACTATAATCAGAAAAAACTGTTGAAATCGTAGGGAAAATCTGAGAATATATTTATAGCACAGCTAGAGAACCTACGACTAATTCAAATAATACCGTCATGACCCCACTTATATCTTCACCTATGCTGTTTAAATAACACACCTTATTTCACTTTAGGTGAAGTCCACCTTAAAAGTGTATCAGATTAATACAGAGAGACTCAAGACATCTGTTCAAGATGCAGAAGATGAAAACTGCCATCTCCAGGAAAGTGAAAAGCAGGTAGGTTCTTCCTGGTTGTCCTTAGAAATGCCATATTTTCTTACAATACTATAAATAAAATTTCTCCAAGGAGCTCATCCTCGGATGTGTTTGTTAATACCCCTTGGGTATTCTAGTAAATGGAATGAGGAAGAGGATGTGGTTTTAAATTGATTTTGTGTTGGAATAACTTTGTCTAAAATAGTCCTGTTTTAAAAAAGAATTAGAGTCTGTGGGGAAACACACATCGAGTTCAGTGAGAAAGAGAACATATGGTAATGTAAGACTAATAAGAATTTTGTTGAGACATGGAGGAAAGCAGAAAGATTTGTGCAAGTCCACAGCTAGGATCCTCTACAGAGGCAGACAGAAAATATTTATACTTGATCCAGAAAACAAAAGAAACTAAGAAATTGCAGAGTATGTAAAAGGCAGGTAAAAAATTTACTGTAGCGTCACTATGCATGAATTAATGGAATGTCAGGTAACTACTATGATGGGACAGAAAAGGCTCTTACTTCCCAAATTTTGGCTGTTAATTTTCTTCAGTACCGTAGCCAGATCCCAAAGCTGATTATTTTAAAATGTTCAGCATAAGCAGTACTTGTACTGTCCATTAACAGGTTTACAATTAAATTTTTCTTCCTGACAAAAAGATATTCTCTCTGAACATTACGTATTTGATGGAATGTTCTTGGGTTTTTGAAGGTTTTGGTTGGTTGGTTGGTTTGTTTTGTTTGGATTGCTTTGTTTTTTGGGGGGGATTTTCTGGTTGTTTTTTGGGTTTTTTTTATGGATATGTGCTTGTTTTCTTGATGTGCAGATGATCTTTTTGTCTGAGTGCTAACATGATAGATATCTTTGGGGTAGGGGGGAAGAGTAGAAGTACAGACCTGTTGGGTTTTAGCAGTCTTATAAAAAGCTGGGGAGTGCTTTGGTCCTCTCTATCAAAACAGTTGTACTTATCAGACTTACTGATTCAGGAAGGGAAAAAAAGGTTACTGGAAATAAAAAATTTTCTGCAAGAGGAGTATTTCAGCTCTGCAGAACTGTGCTAGCAGTAAAACTTCCTATTTTTTTTCTAATTTTAGAAGGAGTACATGTGTGTGTCTGCGAAAAAAAGGGAACACTATTTTATTAGATGCTGTGAGTGGAAAAGCAGTAGATTTGGGTGCCATCACTGTGAGATGAAGTTGCATGAGAATTATTTTCTTTCAGGAGTCTTTTCCATTTAATCTATACAACTTTTTTGTTAGTTTCTAGGAGGAGGAAGGGTCTGGGCTTGGTTCATTAATTCAAATGTCACAGAATACTTACGTAAAGCATTTTGAGAAGAAGTACACAGCTTTAATAGGGATTTTGTGTGTGTGTGTGTTTTCTCTGGTAATTACTTGGGTTAGAGAAGAAATAATAGATTTATTTTTGTGCGTGTAAGAAGATTCTTTATCTTTTATTGAAAAACAGTACTTGGAGTAAGAGAATACTAACTGCTGACAATTACTCTACAGTTTATAGATACTCATTTTATACCAAGCAAAACCAGGGGAGTGTGGGGTGTGGTGGAAATCAGTGAACCCAACTCTTAGAATGTAATTGCCAGGTTCCTACATAGTTAATAAGGTTTTTTGCACTCCTTCCAAATAAAATAACCTGGCCATAGGAGTTACTTAATCACAGTATTGAGGAAGAAGAACTACACTTTGCTGTTAACTGAGCTTTGTTGCATTTTTTAGTAATGTGAGAACATTTGTGTATGTTGTATTTTGCTATGCTTTTTAGCAGATAAATAACCTGGTAAAGAGTTGATGGAACCTGATAAGGGAAGAAGGGGAAGTATCTGCTTTGCTTATTTGTATTCTCTTTTATGAGGTTCTAAGCATGTGAAAGTCAGTTTGCTGTATTAGAATACCTGTATCCCTTTTTTATTTTTCTTTCTTACTTTTTTTTTAAAGATGGAATTTCACTTGTGCTCAAAAGGTAACAAAGGTGTTACTTGTTCACAGAAACTAGAGTACTTTCTTCCTCTGTCCATTTGCACTAATGGGTCATAATCTTCTGGCACATCATAGCTTAAACATTCTAACAGATGTGCTGTCTTGGATTTATGATGTGTCAGAGAGAGGATTGGGCCTTTTAGTTTGAACAAGGGAACTGTTAATGAACTCCAAACTTTCTGTGCTTTGTTTTTCGCAGGAACATCAGAAATATATATTGCTTTAGCTTATTGCAAATCCTTGCTGTTTCTCTTTATTGTAATTCTTACAGGTATATAAAGTCATGCCTATTTATTTTCTCTTTGGCTTCATGAAGAAGGAATCTCTTAGAGTTTAGCTTCCCTGTGAGGATGCCAATTAATGATAAAAGTAGTTGCCCGTGTATGTTTTCTAAGCAGTATTAGCATAAAGAGTATTTTTGTTTTATCTGTAATAACGTAGTTTGCATGAGGCTGCAAATTCACACCTGGCTTTTACTGCATGAAAAGGTGCAGTTGTATGCCAAGTGGGGTTCACCCAGTTCTAGTCACGTACTTCTTGGTTTTTGCCTTCTAGTTTATCTTTGATAAGTAGCGTTCAGGCTTGCTTGTCTATTTGCATGGCAGTTCCCCTGTTTAACTACTGTTTTCTGATTTTATTTTTAGTATAACTGGCTGTTATGTTCTTGTTGCTCAACCTAGTTATTCCTTTCTGTACATTCACTGCTTTCAAATTGGTTGCCTGTTGTGCGACTTTAAGCAATACTCTTTTGGTAGACTAAGGCAAAATTTTTTGTGCTGTACCCCATGTTTTTGTACTGCATGTTTTGTCTTAACAGAAATTTGCATCAGTTCAATTTTATTCTCACAATATGAAGGCATGGTTTAATTAGTATGTTGCAGTAGTTATTTTTAATGATCTGGTGCTTAAGTGCACTAATCCCTTTACTGCTGTAAAGTATTTTTGTGAAATAAGATTTTTCTAGGGGATGTGTAAAATATAACCTTCGAATTTGCTAGTCTTTTTAGTTAACCACAGTTAATTACAAAGATACATACTAGCAGGTGTTGATCACATACAGTTGCTGTGACGTTCTTTAACAGGGAAGCTTATTTAAAATAAAATTTTAAAAATCTAAAATCTAAGAGGTATGGATGAGACTAAAAGTAATCACAGGATCACAGAATTATTTGGGTTGGAAGGGACCTTAAAGATCACCTAGTTCCAACCGCCTGCCATAGCACAGTTTTACAATTCATATGAATTTAAATAGCTTTCTAAAAAGCTTCCTGATTTTCCTGACCTTTCCAATCTCTTCTAGGTCAAAAAGACCCAGGTAGAATTTCAGAAGTCTGTGTGCATATTGGAGAATGAGTGTTCTCTCCATCCATTCCCCAAGTGTTTGTAGCTGTTTTACACAAATTGTCACTCTTTCATATCCATTGCTATTGTCACATCAGGGTTTTTAAACTGAGTGGAATATTAACTGAAGTGTTCTTAAAAATGCTCAAAAATAACCTAACAACTAACTACAGTGGAGAGCTGTTGCAGCTAAAGTAACTGGACAATAACATAGAAGTCTTACTTTCCAGCTCTCAAGGTTTAACTGTCTTGCAGTTTTATCTCTGTTAATTCTTACTGGTGGATGAGACTTTAAAGTTCTGCTTATGTACAGATAACAGACTCAAGTACTATTCATCCTTGACTCTTGGTTGTGATAGACAATCAGTGCTAATCTGCTATTTTTCTTTTTAGCTTTTACAAGAAGCTGAAGGATGGAGTGAACGATTTAGTGAACTAAATGAACAAACTAAGATGCTTGAATCTTCTAAAGCAGATATAGAAGAAGTACTGAAAAATAAAGACAGTCAAGTCAAGGTAAATTATGACAGCTAGCATTAAACTAAATTTTTCAGACCGGTGCTAATCTTGGAGTTCCAAGGATGTCTAACAAACTCTCCTTGTCTTAGTATGCATTAAGCTGTTCTGGGGTTTTGTTTGCTGTCTCCATCCTCTAATGTCTTGTTTCCTGCTAAACAGAAAAGGTTGCTTAGCAGCACAATGGAGCAGTCTGATAGCCTTGGAAGCACATTAAAAAAGAGAAAACTTGTAGTTCTGATAGAGTATTTGCATTTATTTTTTTTAATTTGGAGCTGGGAGTGTATTCTTAGGTGTGTGTACCTCATGTACACAAGCCCTGCTAAAAACGTGTGCTTAGCTATTCGAAAAGTTCACAAGGACACGCCTGTTGACCTATGGGTGTGTGTTGTAATAGAAAAAGTCATATCAGACATCTAGGTGGGCTCACTTAGTCTACAAAGGGAACTAAATAAAGGACAGAATTCCTGAAAAAGTAATTGTAATGGTAACTACATTTTCACTGCTTGTATTTATTTTACTCTTTCTGTTTTGTGGGGGCTTTTTCTTAGTCACTAACACAATACTTACTGAAGATGAAAGACTGGAGTTCAGCAATAAGAGAAGATGATGATACTGAAGATAATCACTGGGACACAGATATAAGGGGTGAAACAGAGAATGGAGAGCATTTAGGTATGGTTTTGTATAGCTTCCCATCTTAAATATTAATTCAATAGATGTTCTAGAAATATAGAACTAACAAACTGTCTCCAGTAAAGTTGAAGGATTAGCTTTGTGGAAGTCAGATTTTCAAAACCTCACATTATCCATGTCAGACAGTTAACTGATGTTGGACACCTCCAGAATAACAACCTATGCTACTATCTAGTAGTGTGTGGATATAGCTAAAGCACACATTACCATAAAGCAATGTAAAGACTCAGTACTCAGTCTCTTGCAGAATGACTTTAGTGTGTGTTAGTATTAAGCAGTGATTCTCAAACATTTGTATGTGTAAATTTTGTTTTCATTTCTTCTTGAAGCTTCTCTCAGCAATAGCACTGAGGGTCCTTAGAGCCTAATTTCTGCTTCCTTGTCCTTATGCAGGTGTTACTTGTTGCAGGCACTATGGTAGCACTGGAATCAGATGAGCGTGGATTTGGGTCCCCTCAAAACAGCAGCACAGAAAAGCCTTTCACCTTTTTCTTGCTGCAGCTTCTTTTTATGCTGGTGCTGATTATACCACAAGGCACATCACAGTAAAACTTACAGTGTGTATTCAACATCTCACTTTTAGTATGAGCATTCTAAGTCTGATTGATTGGCAATTGATTGGCAAACAAAGCACTAAAATGTAGGCATAGCATATCCAAACATACACACCACTTTTTGTTTTCTTCTTTTCCTCCAAATCTGCTATGCCTCTCATGGTATTTTGAAGATTGCTTTATTATAAAAGCACAATAAAATAATAGTGGTAAACTCTGTCACAAACCTTTTAGTGCTTTTTATGTTATTTATTATTCTATTCTGTCAATCAGATGATCAGCAGAAACGAACTGTGAAGAAATTGATCTATGCTGCAAAGGTACATGATTTTAAGAAACTTCGGGGAACTAGAGGGAATAGATGCAATTTTTTGATAAGTTTAATTGCATATAGATCTCAGTAGCACAGAGTTCAGCACCTTTTGAAGTTTAATTAGATATTTTTTCATGCAAAGTTTCTGGTAATCTTAAAATGCTTAGGTTTTGGTTGGTTTTTGTTTGATTTTATTTTGATTGCAGTTAAATGCTTGTTTAAAGACCCTGGAAACAGAAAGAGATCAAATGTATTCAAAACTGTCTGATGAAAATAAAGCTAAAGGAGAACTTACAGGTAATTAAATGTTGTTTTGACTTTAAAATTTAATAAGGTGCTGCTTTTGTAAAATGGTGTTACAGGCCATAAGTATTACTTCCAGTAGAAACTGAATTAAGCTTACATTAATAGCTCTACTTGATTTCTAAAATGCCTGTGTAAGTTGCTTAGCTATTTTAAATATTTGATTTTAGAGGTAAAGCAATTGAAATTGCTAAAGCACTTTGTAAATTTTGTTGTACTCCATTGGAATATTCTATAACATGACAGCTACACGTCTTAAAATACATGGACAAAGTTGTTAATAAATATAAAATACCCTCATTGCATAATTTCTGGACATGAAACAATGAAGTTTTAATCTAAATTTTAAAACCATCTCTTAAAAATGGTACCTTAATTTTTATTAGTTTGTAATGAGTGCAAGCTCGGTACTTCTTAAAATCCCAAATGCTGCATTTAGAGAATTGTACCTAAAAGCATCTTGCTCTATTTTTTCCTTTGTTGTGTAGAATATACTGAATTAAACCTTAGGAAATGAAAACACTGCCACTCTGACTCAAATTAAAGCCTGTCATTAGCTATCACTTTTATAGATAACAATCAGCAGTGTCGCCATCACATTTGAATGTACTGTGGTTATGGTTTGGCTTCTGGGTGATGAAATGCACTGTTAAACTGTATTTTTCAGGTTTTGATAATCCTTTAAACTGAGTCTTTGTGTTAGTGTGTTTTCCAAATTGAATGTAACTCTGTCCTATAACGATATGCAAACTTACTTAAAGCTTTCTTTGTTTCTTGAAGAGAGGCATAGAATAGTAAATAGGAAAAGAAACATCACAGATTTCAATTTGGAAAGATAAGGTGGTCAGGGTAGTAGCCCTTCAGGCAACTCAGCAAGACCTGTACATAAATCAGCAAAGAGCGTATGATGGTACCGCTATTACTTCTATAGCAGAATAGCTGCAATAATTATTATAAATGAAAATTTGTGTTGTGAATTATAAAACTGAATTATTTTCAAAGAAGCTATACAACTTGGAGCAAAGGCTAGATATAAGCTCAGGTATGCACTAATATAGTATTACTTATTAAATGAACATAGGGTCAAAGAGTTTTGCAGAATTCCAATATACTAAAATATTACAAATATTTTAATTTTGTAAATTATGCATTAACCTAAGATGATTATTTCTAAATTTGACAGAACGTATAGAAAATCTTCAAAGTCAGCAAGCTTCCTTGCAGTCTGAAAATGAACATTATGAAAGTGAAGTTCAAAAGCTTCAGCAGAAACTTAAAGTAATGACTGAACTTTATCAAGAAAATGAAATGAAACTACACAGGTGCCAGTTCCTCTTTTTATATTCAGTGCTTTACTGTTGATTTGAATGTAACTCTTAGATATGGGTTGCTGAAAATTTCTGAAAATATCAGTACTGCTTTCCAGAGTTTTTTGGATTGTGAAGATCCTGCTATGTTACAGCTTTATGTACATTTGTGATCACAGTAATATTATAGAATTTGTTTCCATGAAAGTAGTGGTATGTTATTTTGGGACTTTTCCACAGTACAGAAACAAAGATAAGAAATTTTTAATCTATGAAATAAGGTGGGGAAAGTTGGAAAGGTTGATTATTAATTTTATTAAATTACTGAAAATAATAAATTTTATTTAAAATATTACTGTTTATTAAATGATGTAATAAAGCTATCAAAGTTGCTGAAGGAATGATAATCAGTAGCTGTTTTAATTGTGAGGTATATTTTCTATAATGAAGAGAGCTAGTAATGTCAGCAGGCAAGGGGTGCTTTTATAAAATTAAGCTTAGAATTCAAATACAGGCAAGCTATTTTCAGTAAGCAACATGGAACCCCTGTGAATCAGGCTTTCCTCACCAAGGAGGATAGAATATGAGGGCCGTACTATTTGCCTCACAGTCAGAATGATGGTAGGAAATACGACTTACTGACTGAAATCAGAAATATATTAAGGTCTAGAAATAAAGTTGGGATAGGACATGTAGTAACCTTCAGAAGTGTGTGTGTGTTTGTGTATGGGGAAGGGGGGAGCAGCAGACATCATTTTAGGGGGCAGTGGTAGAACTACAGTTTTGCTAGCCCAAAATTATTTCTTCAAGGAGCAGACATAATCTTGAAGGCAGCACGAGGAGCAGCGCAAATCTTGATCCTGTACTGAGCAGTATGCAGGACCTTTTTAAGTATTGCTTTCAATAATCTGCTCTGAAATATCTAGGTTTGTAGAGATATTTGACGTCTTTGTAAATGGAACTAAACCTAAAAATCCACTGCATTAACATTTGGGTTTTTAAAATGCAGGGGGGAGTGGGAAGGAACCTATCAAAAAGAAGCGATGATGGGCAGTCAGAAAGGAAAAGTGTTTGCAGTCTGCATGGATGCTATTTAAAAATACCATGCTGAAGCTCAGCAAATGTACGCTGCTTTTTGAAGATTTTAGGAAAGCCAAAACGAGATAGGAGAATAAGAGAGGCTATTAGTATTAACAAGGCATCTTTTAAAAGCAAGGGAAATAGAAAAGTGGGAAATAAAGATTGAGTAGAAAAGAAGTTTATATCATATTCAAAAGATCGATTGTTTAGATAGTTTGATTATGAAAGACTGCTGTTTAACAGGAAAATGACCAGTTTACCCATTCAGGGCAGTATGCAGCAGTAGTGTTCACCTGCATTCTGCCGAATTCCCTTGTGCATATTCTGTGGTGTGGAATATGGGTTTTCTCTTCTGTAGTGTCCGATAAGGCATAAAAAAGAGGGACCTGTAAAGAATATATATACGTTTTTAGTAACTATTTTGTAATAGCTAATAACAACCTCTTTCTTGTCTGGAAAGGTTTTTACATTAAAATGTAAAAAAAGTACCAGAATACATCACTGAAAGTTAGTGTAGTTTGGGTTTTAGTTTGATTTGATTTTTATCTGCTTCCCTCCTGCCCCCAGATGGAAATATTCTTTGGTAATGAGGATTGTCTTCCAGAATCCTTTTAGGAACAGTGGTAATCTAATTGTTTAATATAGAACAGTTAATGAATTGAATAAACCTATATGAATACAAACTTGTGCTATTAATGCCACTTCATATGCTGCCTATAAAACTCTTTATCTGGATACATATCATGTATTCATCATACATTCTTGACAGACCGATGACAAAATTGTTGACTTGAAACAGAATTAACCATTAGTTTTTGAATTTTCTTAAAGAAAGCTGACAGTAGAAGAGAGAGAACGCCTACAGAAAGAAGAAAAGCTTTCTAAAGTAGATGAAAAAATTAATCATGCTGCTGAAGAACTCAACAGCTACAGGTAATTACAGATTTCAGTTGCTGTAATCACTTGTTCCAAAGTGAACAAAAGGCAGTAGAGAATTAATAAAAACGCCAGCATGAGTGAATGTATTTTCTTCCAGTTTCTTGGGGGGGGTGTGGGGGGGTGTGTTACATGCTGGTTTGTGTGTAATAATACATACTAGGAAGTTTTTGCTTTGCTAAAAAATTAGGGTATTAAAGACCACTATCAACTTCCCTTCCATTAGAATGTTAACTGTATTGACATGTTAGGTTTAATGGAATGGTAGCAGTGGGTCCCTAACCTAATTCCTTTTACTGAACAGAGATAAAAATACAAAGTTAGGAGAATACTGTGAAGTAACTACAATGTTCAGTTTTCCTAACATATGTTTTATAGTTACAGTATTCTATTTCTGTATGTCTGGGCTTTTAAAATAGTACCATTGTTTAGAAATTCTGTAGTTTGGGTTTTTTGGGGGGTTTTTTTATATTTGTTTTTTACTGTTTGGTTCTGTTTTGTGTTGCACCAATTGCGTACCTCTGGTTTGCTTCTGTCGTTTCTGGAATTACGGCATCATTCTTCAATCTGCAATGTGTATTCCCCACCTTCCTTTAATAATGGCAGTATTGACTCTAACTGAAAGATACTGATCAACAATGCTTCCTGAAATGTTGATTAGATTAGTTCTTTCTTTGGAAAATAAAACTCTTGAGGATATTCTTCAGTGTTTTACAGGAAGACAGAATTTGCCCTTAGTGATTTACTTAGAATTTTTATGTATCCTGTGGGCCTAAGTGACAATACTGAGGTTTGGATAAAAAGAACCCCAAACTTAATTATACCTTGCGTTTACCATTGTGTTTACTGTATTTAAAATTACTTTTCTCCACATTTTATTACAATGTTATAATCCTTAATTTTGTTACAGAGAGCGAGCAAAAGATCTTGAAGAAGAGCTAGAAAGAACCATTCGTTCTTACCAGAATCAGGTATATGCTTTGTGTTACTTACCATCTAAGCCAAGTAGAAGGGATCTTACTGCAACCGAAATACCATTTTCAGTGAGGTTGTGATACTGTTTGGCTTGATTTTGTTGGGTGTTTTTTTGCCCTTCCCTCCCCCCTGCAATGTTATCTGGTTTTGACTGCCACAATTTCACAGCAGAGATCGCCAGATAGCTTTATTAAAAAGTTAAATTTTACGTTTAGATGTCTCATTATAAATTATCCACAAACATTAAACTTATAAGAGCATATGTTCAATCTGAAGTTCTCTTGTTTTAGATGAGTAATGATCTAATGAATCTGTCTTCCACAGATTACTTCACATGAGAAAAAAGCTCATGATAATTGGGTAAGTTCCAGCTACTGAATTTTCTGAACTTCCTGTGTCTTCCATGATTTGAATAGCTTGCCTTATCACTTTTTTGTTTCTTATTAAAAACAGATAATCAAAATTAGCCTGTCACCAACACAAAAGGATGTTAAAAATACTTCTATCATATAAAACAGTTGGAATAATTAAGCCAGCTACCTATGAGTACAGTACACTGATGTTACGGTATTATTTGTTGTAACAATAAATCTCCTGAAATAACATGTTACCATGTAACAAGTGTGTGACATTTTTCTAATAATAAAAATTTTTGGCCTTGTTTCAGTGCCATTTTGGTATTTTCCCTGGATGTACTTCACTTGTTTTATCTACTAATAGAAAACATTATGTTCTGTGAGAACATTATGTTCCATTGACAGCTTCCTAAGAATGTTGCTGCAAAATCCATTTTTACCTGTTCTTCCAAACAGGAAACTTTAAAATATCTCCTGACTAATACATTCTGCAGTTTCACAGAATGGCCTGTATAAGATAGAATCCAGTTAAAAGCTGTGGTGCTTCGTGGTCATAATTTTAAAGTGTTTACTATCTGATTTTAAAATAAAACTTTTTTTATAGAATCTGAAACTTTAAATCTTGTACTTATTCTGTATATGCTTCAAAGCAGCAATAGGCAAAGAATTTGATTTCAGCAGTTTGAAGAACCTGCAGGAAAGCCATGTCATTCCTCAAAAATTTGGGTAATAGAGCTGCTGATGTCATTTGGTGACAGATCTGAGGCTCTGTTTCACATGCTTTATACGCAAGTCACATCTTGTGAAAACAGAGTCCACACACTTCAGATAGGAAAAAAAAAAGTCTTGGATCTAGAAACTGTCACATGTATGAAGCATTTAGTTAAGAAATAGCAACATCTAAGCATCCGATTTTTGTCCCTTCCCAAAGCTCGCAGCCCGAGCAGCTGAAAGACACCTCAGTGATATAAAAAAAGAAAATGCACATAACAGACAAAAGTAAGTGCTCTCCTGATCTAACTGTGAACAAATACAATTTGGCATGTGAGTATGTTTTGGATTTATGCAATCTGGTGTTTTTTAGACCTTTGTTAATCAGTAGTAGCCTAAACAGTGCAGAGGGAATACAGTGTTCCACTGGAGTTTTGAAAGGGAGTCATTTGAGTATTCCTGTAATGATAACATGTAAGAAAGCAAGAACTTAAGAATTACGAGAAGGATTGAAATATTTCAGGAATGAAGCAGAATGTAGTACTGGGACTCAAAGGTTTTAGGGGTTGGTTGGTTGGTTTGTTTTAAATAAGTATGTTTCAACCAGATGTTTTGGTTACTTAGTGATTTTACAGCTTATCTCAGAAGTTAATACGGAGCTAACGTGTCAGGTGGTTGTGGTTGGGAGGAACCTTTAGATGTGAAGTTACCAATACTTGGAATGCAGTTTAGAGTACTCGTGGGAGTAATGTCATGCTAGGAAATGTGACGTCTAACATGCTGTTTTGACTTCTGAATTAGTTCAAATACAGCAGCATAGAGAAATACCTTCAGGAATTCTTAAGTTCAGAGTTCTGTGACATCCTTGTCTTTTTTCTCTTTATTTAGGAAATATGTTGCTTCATTAACCCTTTAAGTAGAAAGCCCAGCAGTAAACAGTGCAGACAAATAAAGCTTTTGCACTTCTTGGTTATTTACTACTATTTTGTTTATTTGCAGATTAACTGAAGCAGAATTTAAACTTGATCTTTTAGAAAAAGATCCTTACGCTCTTGATGTTTCAGCTAGACCATTTGGCAGAGGTACAGTATTGAATTGTAAAATAGAGTCTAATTGTTTTGGTTTATGGTTTTGTTTCCCAAGACCACACACATGTAATTGTTTGAAAACTGTCTTGGCCATGTGTATGTACAAATAACAGTCATTTAAAAAAATAACTGGGTCATAAGTGGCTTTAGGTCATGTTGAGTATTTTGTTGAAACGAAGAGCGTTTGTAGTGTTGATGAGAGTAGACTGGGAACATGATACACATGGTAATTAGAGCACAATTTTCATTTCACCTTTACAATTTAGTTTTAAACTTCACCTGAGAAGTTCATTATACAATTTGCTAAACTAAATACTGTGAACTTGAGTATTTTGTTTTAACTGTTCCAGAGCATTCCCCATATGGACCCTCACCAATGGGCCGGCCTTCATCTGAAACAAGAGCTTTTCTTTCTCCTCCAACTTTATTGGAGGGTCCTTTAAGGCTTTCACCTATGCTTCCAGGTGGAGGAGGAGGAAGAGGTACAATTCTTAAACTTGAAAATGTATCTATTCTGGATTTCTCTCTCCTCTACTATAAATCTGTCACACCTTTTCCTCTTGCTGGTGACTAAAAGTATCAAAACATCTAATTCAGTATCAACAGTTGATTGGACAAACTCTCCCTGTTTTTCAGCTTGCTTCTAAAGCTTTCTAATGAAACAGTACAATGGAAGATACAGTTGCTACTAGTAGGTTAGTTAGTGGATTCACTTTAGAAGCATAGATTGAGAAAAGTGAAAAGCCAAACATAATCACTCTTGGTTTATTTATTGGACAAATGGGGTTCTGCTGAAATAAACTTACGATTTTAATGTAAACAAGATCAGTTAGCTTTCTGGAGAAAGAATACTGCCTCTTCTATCTCATTAGTCTGCATTTGGCGAGAGGAGAGAGTACCTGTGTTGTCAAAACCACTTAATTTTATGGGGGTGACGATATTCGTTTTCCTCCCTTTGTTCTAAATTTGAGGCAGTCATTATATGTGGAGAGTTTCTTTCCTACTGATAAAAGGGACCAGGAAGGCTTTGTGTAAAGAGTAAAATTCAGAGATTGAGGAGTAGGTAAAAGCAAGCCGTGGTGTCATGGGTTGTAAAGGAAGAAAAACACTGTTTATATTTTTGGTGTTGACGGAAATAATGTAGATGAACGCTAGAGTGGAGTTCAGCATCTATTACAGGTAATAAAGAAGATACTATTTATTTTACTACTACTGTTAAACCCATTGAAGCCTGCGCACGTTTCATGGGAAATATGTCTAACTGTCTCTTCTGTAAGGATTTCATTAATCAACATTGATCTTTAAAAGACCAGCATGGACTATTTGTTTAATTCTTTGTAAAAAGTGTATTTGGGTGCATATGAAAGTTGATTAATTTTCTAAGTCAGAGAAATTTGAGATTCAGTGTTCAACTGTAGCTGTACCACATACAAGCAAAATAATACTTGACAGTTTATTTGTAGAGAGACAGGAAGTAATGAAACTGAGCTGTCCAGTATATCTTATAATTGTAGCTCAGCTGTTCCTGGTCAGGAAGAGTAAAAACTGCATTTCAGGATGCAGTATTAGCAAGGAAAGAGACTGTGCAAAGACATAACCGCTGCCCATTTCACTGTCATGCACTAATGTAACTCGTGCAGATTAAACAAATGATGTGTTTAAATATAATGGCAGCTACAGAACAATTATACTGCTCATCTCACTTTGCACAAGACATGAAATGGCTTCAAATTTTAGGTTGAATTTTGGGATAGAGAATGAGAACCAGAATTCGGTATTTTTGTAATTTTTCAGACCTACTCTATTTTAAAGGAAGCTTGCAACCTAAAATCACTCATTGTCACCGTTTCTCTTGCACTTGGTTGTGTGTTGAGCAGGTCTGTTCTTATGTTTTTTTTCTTGAATAAAGAATTAGAAAAAGCCAGAAGAGTGTTGAATGTAATGTGGATATTTTATTACGATGAGGGAATTAACTTTCAGTGTACTAATTTTTAGTTCAATTAGCAGCAAGTATTTTAGCACTGAGAAAATGATTTCTCCTGAGGACAGTAGTTTCTCTGACTTGAATGAACTGAAACACTTTAAGTTACTACTAAAAAAAAAATGTGCATCCTCTAGATTGCGCTCCTGTTGAACTAAAACTTTTTAATTCCAAACCAACCTTTTAAACGCTTCCAATAAACATAACTGGTCATCAGCAAACAGCTGGAGAGTCCCATGGAATGATGCGCCTCTCATATCTTGACAGTGTTGGCATTCCATGATTTATTTTACTATTTTCAGACTTAAGGAAGAAAGCCTTAATAGAGGATTTAAAATACCTGGGTAAAGAGCTATCTGTTTCTTCGATTAGGATCCAGAGGACCAATGTATGAAGCTGGTGATGAAAGAGAGCTGAGTTCTGATCCGCACAGACCACCATCAGATACTGGATCTCTGTCTCCTCCTTGGGATAGAGAACGCAGACTAATTCTGCCTCCACCAGGTACAAAACTCTGCTTAGCTCTACTGTATCTATGGAAAAATAGAGTTACTGACTTGCAGTGTATATAATTTAAGTATGTTTTGCTTAAAAACATGAAATGTTTTCTTGGAACTACATGTGCAACTGCACTGGAAAGGTTTTTTATAGTAGTTTTTTCCCCCTTCGAATAGTGCGGTTCACTTGTACTTCTATGCTGTCTTTTAAATCTATACTGGTACTAGCAGTGCACTGTCAACTGTTTGGTTTCATCATTTTGCTGGGAGTTTTGGTGCATCAAAAGACTAGTTTGGGCTGGATAATTAGTAAGAAATCTAAGCAAGTAAAATCTTTCAGTGGTACATTAGCTTTAAATAAGCAAACAAATAAATAGAAGCTAGCTAATGTTGAAAAATACTGTGTTTTTCAAACAAACATTTCTATTAATAGTGCAGGAGTACTGTGTTACAGTCATCCTGTTTGACATGTTTTCATGTTGATACTGCTTCTTTGATAAATAACAACAAAATCAGTCTTAGCTCAGTTCTTCAGCTAAACATCTGTATTGCATATTATCACTGAAGGAAGACAGACATGCATCAAAAAGGGTACTACTGATATTTTTCAAGTAACCAATGCAGGGGAAAGGACAACATTCCTGTATACCTGTAGTAAAGAAGCAAAAATGCTACAATTAAAAAATAAATAAGTCAGGTAAAGTACACAGATTACAGTACCTCAATTGTTAGATACAGCAAGCAATATTGTAGTTACTGCACTTCTGTGTGAAAGCCTGATTATAAAACTCAAAAGTCCACTCAGGATGCAGTTTTGCATTTGCTAGATCTGATCTATTGACAGGATACTGCAGAGAGGTTGTCTCATTTCTTTGACCTGAGTGGTGTTCTTACCCCATCTTTGTACTTGGATCTCATTGATACAGTTTGCCATGTAGCTTGCATGACTGGTTGCTGGACCTGATGCAAGGAATTTGACGAAAACACATTATAGCACTGTGAAACATAACAGAAAACGGCACTTTTATCTAAGAATGACTTAAAATGCATAGTACCTTATTTTGCTTTTCACCTTCATTGCTGTGCTGAACCTTCGTTTCAAGGCCTGCTTATGATTTAGGCAGTCATAACTTTTGAAACGTACTGTGTTAAACCAAAATATCAGTGAACTTTCTGTTTTGCAGCTCTTTAGAAAGAAGCTGTACTATATACTTGGTGGGATCCTGTGTTTGAGGGTGTTTTAGGATTTGTTTACTAACCCTGCTTAATAGTGACTTTGGATATTTACAAAAGCATAACATATCCAGCAAATTTTGCTGGCCTAAAATTGTATGGAATGGGGGCATAATCTTCACTGATCTATTTTGCAATTTATTCAATGTTAGGTGAGCCTTATGCTGATCCAGTTCTTCCTCCTCGAAGACAAGAAAGATTTTTCCCTAATCCTCCAAACACTGGAAGACTTTCTGGACCAGCAGAACTACGAACTTACAATGTGCAGTCTTTTGATAAAATAGGTGGGAATTGCTTCCATGATACTATCAAATGGTAGTTCACAGTGCAGTTGCCCTCAACTTAATCGCACCTTTCACTGACCGAAGTACCATTTGTTTTAAATTGACCGATTGCATAAATTCTAGTTTGTGGTGCTTAGCAACAGCCAGAAGCTCAGCAGCAAAGTTTTGGTGACTTAAACCTCATTGCTGAAACAGTTTTAAGAGCTTTAAGCCCTAATACTTATTAAGCAGTTTTCATCCTTATGTAATGCCTAGTAAGTCACATGTGTCTGATTCATCAGCTAGGCTGAAGACATTAAATCACAACAGAAACTTTGCCACACAGCATTCGGCTACTGATACAATTAGGAGTGAGTTACCATATTTGCTGCCCAGTTTCTGGAAATAGGAGAGAAAACCTTTGTTACTTGGTGTCATGATGTGGGAGCTGGGAACACTGAATTCCGTTTCAGAGAGTTGTTCTCTACTGGAAGACAGGTCTGTTTCTGTACAGCATATCACCTTCCTACCCTCTTTCCCAAGCCAAAAAATCTGGAGAGGGACTTTTTACAAGGGCATGTAGTGATAAGACAAGGGCCAGTGGCTTTAAGCTCAGAGGGAAGATTTATATTAGATAGTAGGAAGTTCTTTACTGTGTGCATGCTGGGGCATTGGCACAGGTTGCCCAGAGAAGTTGTGGCTGCCCCATCCCTGGCAGTGTTCAGGGCCAGGTTGAATGGGACTTGGAGCAACCTGGTCTGGGGGAAAGTGCCCCTGCCTGTGGAAAGGGGGTTAGAACTAGATGATCTTTAAGGTCCCTTCCAACCCAGACCATTCCATGGTTCTCTCTGTGTTTCACTTCTCACTTATGCTTTCTAATACTTTGCGTTCCACTGAGGTCTCTCTTCTAGCACCTGAATGCTGACTGAGGGACAGGAGAGGTGCACTGTCTTTGCTCTCACTTGTTGCATGCATTTTTACCCTTTTATTCAGCTGCTGGCAAGTAACAATTAAAAAAAAACCAAAAACCAAACCCAACAATGTAAAAGCTGTATTCAGGCCTTGGGCAATTCAAAACCTACTTAATGGAAGCGGGGTTGTGGATAATCTTACTGCTGGCATTTAGCAGTCATTAAGCATATGTGAATGTTGTTTTTTAGAGACATACTATTTCAGAAGACTTGGATATTTGTAAAAATAGCAAAAAAACCTCCGACAAATTAAAACCCCCCACCCCATATAGTCTGACTGCAGACCAGCAGCATGTCTCTCAGTAGTGAAATCCAGGCTCCAACTCAAAAGAGAACATTATTTAAAGTGAACACACCAGTACCAGTGTTTCTCTAAGCTGGAGTGCTTAACTCTACAATAACATTCAACTTGAAGCAGGTACCTGGAACAGGAAAATTCTTGTCAGAAAGAAAGGTTAAAGCTTGACAGAGTTTGTGAGCAACTTTCCAAGGATTTAAAATGGAAAGTGTTATGCAGCCAAGGTATTAGGGCATGAATATTCTCTGTGTGACATAAAGAGTTGAAATGCTTCAGATAGATAGTTAACTAACAGTATCTTCAACAAAGGCAGTGTCTGTTTGAAGTGACAAGGCAGATTTTTGGAAAAGACCTATCTGCTTATTGAGAAAAGAGCTTTGTTTGCTTGAAAGAAGGAGAAATACAACATGTAGATGAAAAATCTGTCACTTGTTAAAAGTATGGTTTTGGTCTTGTGTTTTTTAGCATTGTTGTCTTTATTCAGGCAGAAGTGGAATAAAGCAGTATTTTAAATCTTGGGTTTGGGGGAGTTTTGAATTTTATTTCTTTTTTTTGAGAAAGGAGTACATTTATTGTACGTATTTAGTATATTTATATCCAGTCAGACTCTCTTCTGACAATTCCCTTTAATAATTTTATCCAGTTGTTACTGAAAATACTTGTTCTCAGGGAATTATAAAGGTAAAAATGCTGAAGTTCCTACTTTTCTCTTATTTCCGAGTGCTCATTCAGAACTGATGTAGTTCTCAAAGTCTTCTTGATGTTTAGCAACTAAGGAAGGAACCAGGTTTGTCAGACTTGAATGGGATTGCTGTTGAGCTCTATGCTAAGAGCCTGTCATAGGACAGTCATTCCCAGAGTGAGACTTCTACCAAAGAAATAAGGTATTAGCCAGGAGGGAGGGGAAGAATGGAGCTGTGACAGCAATATTAAGATGTATTGCTAGGAAAATGCACTTATAACTCCTAAAAATACTAAAATGGAAGAAAAAGCCTTATTTGGATACAGGAAACTACTTTGGTAAAAGATGCAACTTTGTAATTCATGTGCAGCTTTTACAGAAGTTGAAGTAAATACTGGGGCATAGCTTTGTATTCCTGTCCTGGGTTCAACCCCCAGCTAGGGGGGGAATGCGCAAGAGGCTGTGTGGTTCTGAGTTACTGGCTGGACTTAAACCACAACAGGTCGTCAGCTGTCTTTTAGGCCGCCTGCAGAATAGGTGCTGGGTACAGCAATATTTTTCCGATTTTTTTTTTTTCTCTCTTTGCCCATATATCCTGATTTCAGAAAAATACTGAAAAACACAGAAGTGGGTGGGGGAGAGGAGGAGCTCTGCACCGAGTAACGTGTTTTAACTTTTCCATGCAGACGGACAAACATCTTCAGATAATAGCCCACGAACAGAACCAAGTGGAAATGGGATGAAAGACCATTCTAACCTTAGTGTAAGTAGCTCAACAGAAACTTGATTTTCTGCAAAATATTTAGGAAGACTTGTCTCCAGTACATTGGTCACATTATGTTGCACCGTGCAGTCCAAATTATAAAATTACATAATTATATGTATACTTTTATACATATAATTTAGTGTCTTGTGAATTAATTTTGGTGTATGACTAATTAAAACCCAAAAGATGAAATTATGGCCAGTGCACATAGTGTTGCTCAGGATTATGCTGTAGCTGAGGAAGAGCTGTTAGCAAGCATGCCAGCCTACATCAAAGTGGGCCTGATAGGGTTGGGGGTGTTCCCTCTCCTTAGCCCTTTCCTTTTAAGCTAACTTCCCTGTTTTCATTGTGTTGCAGAAGTCACTACCTGATCAGTCGCTGGCATCTGAAGGTGATGCTATCAGTTCAGGGTTTGCTCCTCCACCTTTCCCTCCAGTCAGACCTCCAACGATGCCTGTGGATCCTAGAGCACCTTTAATGCGATGGGGTCCTCCTTTTCCTCCCCCTCCTGCTGGCATGTATGGACCACGTGAATGTTTTCCAGTACGAGACTTTGGGATGCCACGCCCTCCGCTGCCAAGTACGTAGCTTTTGCCAGCATTTCCTTCAAGTTGATGCACATCAGTGCTTTGTGCAGGTAGTGAGTAACCACACAGGGTGAACACTTACACATATACTTGCACGTACGTGTTCTCAGTTCAGCCAGCTCAGAGCACCTTTCCTGATTAATTGCACTTTCTTTTTCAGAGTTGCTCAACATTGATGAAGTTTTTACAGATAGCTTTGGCTGGAAAATACATGTACGCATACTGTTCAGCATTTAAAGGGTTCTTGTTTTGGAGTAGGAAAGCAAGTAGATGCTTACCTTAATCCTTTTCCTCCTACGAGGTTGCATCACAGATAGAGTTTCAGCCTTTAGCTTTGAGGTATGCTGGTGTCCATGCAGAGGCAGGCATTTGGGATATACCTGTTAATTGTTTTCGTTGGAGTTTGCATTAGTGGAGCGACATACGAGTATCGGACTGAAGGACTTCTTTCTGCCTCCTGCTGTTCTCTGATTAATCTGTGAAGAACTAAACCATTTGTCTTCCAAGACAGGGGGGAGGTATGACAGCCAAGGGCTGCTACAGCAGACCAAAGGGGATGGTGGCAGCAGCAGCCCATTAACAGTGAGAAAAGTGATCGTTTTATCTTCCTCCTTCCTACAGCCTTTGTCTCTTGGAAGCCTAACACCTGCCCTAAGTCTACTTTGCACACTACTTTTATTCCACCTAGTTAGGTGGATCAGTGCTGAGCAGCAGTAACATGGGGTGGGAAGAGCAGGGATGTGGGTTACTGTGATATTAACTGGACTGCTCTGATTCCCCCACAGTAAGAAATCCATTTCCAATGAGATCTTATCCTCACTATCCACCACCACACCCTGGATTTTTGCCTCCACCACCTCCGCCTGAAAGCAGAGTTGAGCCACCTCAGTCAAATCCATCAGCTAGAGAACAACCTGACCCTCAGCAGGAGACTTGACAGTCGTTTGAGCACTGTGCTGAACCCCTCCTCTACTCTGCAAATCGCATCTCTCCTTATATTAAGTAACTAGTGTTACTTAGGTTTTGCTCAAATTGAAGCTTAATAGAAAATCCTCAGGATAGTGTTTTGTAAATAAAGAATGAAATACCTATGACTATTGTGAATAAGTGATTTCCATTGTACAATAGCCATTTTAAATTATTTCTAACTTGAGTAATCTCATCAAAGGTGTATAAATTTTAATCATGTGAACCATGTTTTAAAAGTCCAGCTGCTTTGTCCTTGTTTTGCTGAACAGGGGCACTCTGCATGCCAAAAGTGATGGTTGCAGCTTTATGAATAGAATGTGAAAACAAATTGAAACAGTTAATAAAAGTCTACTGAAAATGAAAGCACTGTCACTGGGAACATGGTACTACAGAAGTGGTTGAGGTGAATAGGTATTAATATTATTCTCTACTACATATGTGCTGTTAGTGACCTCACCGGTAATCTTTCAGTTGTCAAAGCTTTACATAGGGGCAGTTGTCCTACCGCTGCAGAGGGAGGGAAGGGGAAGTGGAAATGTAAAGCAACTCTCCTGTCACTCCTCAAAACTGGTAGTGTTGTGTGAAGATGGATAGATGCGGGTTTTATGACACAGGAGGCAAGAGTCACGGCTGTGTGATGCTTCGGCACCTCTGGACCCTTGCCTTTGAAGGTGCATGTCTGCAACAAACTAAAATGAGGAATTTTTACTGTCTGAAGATAAATTGAGTTTATTAGGCTTTAGTCTTTAACACTGGACATTGGGAAGGTGGGTGGGACAAAAACACCACTTCCCCATTTCTTCAGCTCTGACTGCGGAGAGCACTTGGGCTTTAACAACAAAATGGCCACATGGGATGGGGCAGGAGACTTCTGTGAGCGTGCCTGCCTACCCTGACATATAGTACAGGTAACTAAAACTGCAAGGCGACATAGAATTTCTCATCTAGAGCAGGCACAGAAGCAAGTACACCAAATACATGTACCAAAAAAAGCCAACAACAGTGGTCAAGACCATGTTGCTGTGGTAAACATCTAAAAAACCCAAGCAAACATATGCTTTGAGACATGAGTTGTGTCCATGTGCTTTTCGCAGTGCTTGGGAGGCTTCACAAAACATGCAGAATTAAAAAAAAAATTCAAGAAAGAAGTGGCAAACCACAGCATTTGGGGCTTATAAAAGCAATTAGTGTGTTGCTTTTTTCACCAGTTTGTGCTTCTTCCCTCATGGTAACAGCCATCAAACCAGGCAGAGACAGTGCAGAGCCAGGGCACAGGCATTTCCAGAGGGAGCCTCCCTCCATGTTTACTGACTCTTGTACAAGCTGAAGACTTCTGCTAGAGGCTGTTGGCAGTTTAGCTTCAACTCAGAACCCACGTAATTATTCACACCACGGTACCTGGTACGGGACCCTTTAAGGTAAATGAAGCCAAAGCCATTTTTAGCAAGCCCCCACTTGTTGCAGCACCAACAGGCCGCTCAGGAGCCATTCTCCGCCCTCCCGCCAGTTCTCTGCATGCACACGCAGACACACAGAACACAGTTTGAGCCTGTAACACATAACCTGCATCCACCACACCCCGTAATTAGAAGTTACCAAAAAAACCTCTAGCCCACTTTTTTTGTTAAGTGCTTAGGTCAAGTCTGCTGAGTGACTGCAGCTCAGGGCTCCTGCTCCTACCATCCTGTATTTCCACATCAGTGTATTTATTTCATCTGCAGAACATTTCCATGGCTCATTCCTGGAACTCCTTTATTCTCCTACTTCTAGTTTAGTCCTAAGAGGCATTTAGTAAGCCTTCATACTTAAGCTATTAACAAACAGATTCTGGCAACAGCCATTTTAAAGCATCATCCACATTGAATTGTTTCAGCTGCTATTTAGCTTACTTCAGCTGTTGCATCTGTTTTAGCCAATTAGTTGGTTTCTAGAGGTCTAAGTTTGCCTGAAAGACTTCACAGGGATTCTAAAAGGAATGACTTGGATTTTCCCTTGTCCTTGCCATCAGGAACAACCAGAACTGTCAACTATGAATTCACTCTTGTAGGCAGAACCAGTGGATGCCCAGAGGTCCTTAGTTTGACAGTACTACCACCATTAAGAGCCCCCTTTTTGAGCCCCCACCTCACCTTAAGGGCTGCAAACTAATTGTGAATGGAACTGTATCTTCTGAACACACGGAGTATTTTCTCTGTGTAGGTTCAATATTTGTTCTAGTTGGAACCAAGTTAACTCTGCAAAAAAGCCACCTTCCTCCACCAAAACAATCTACTCCATGCCCACAATGATACTGGAAGCTGCAGGCAAAACAGCAGATAGCTGGACTAAAATAATGCAGGACAAGATCATCCCACAGAGAGAATGGAATAATTTCAGAAGGTTTTCCCCCCACACCGTAATAGCCAAAAAATCTTATTTGCAAGCAAACAATCTGAAAACCAGCTCAGGTCAATGCAACATGAAGCAGGCTGTAGTAAACTGTAAGGTGTAGTTAGGTGTGTTGAATGGAGAAGGGTCACGCAAGTGTGTATGTGGGAAGTCCCTGTTCCCCAAAAGAAAAAGTAATCCAGTTTTAACAGTTGAGGGCTTGCATTCCAAGTTCCTGCTGCTAAATCTAGACTGCAGCAAGACTAACTTGGCATTGCTGTCTCTCCAGGAAAAACAAAGAGAAACAAAAAAACCCATTTAAAATCCCATTTGGGATTATGCAAGCTCGAAGTCATTTCACACGGTTTGTAAGCTCCCACTCCAAATGCAAGTGCACTTCCCACATGAGGACCATATTGCTTCAGCTTGAATCCCTTCATCTGGGTACCACTAATTCAGGATTGCTAAAAATACAAGCGAGCAACAAAACCAACTTCTGTGTATTTCTAAGACAACAGAACCATCAATCAGAAGTGTAATTCTCCAGCACTGCTCAGTGTACGTGTTTCACCACACACTCAGGCCCTGCTGGACTCCCCATGCTTGTGAAGTAAGAAAGATTACAGCAGTCTGTTTTAAATAGCTTGTCTTCATACCCCAGACGTTAAGACATACCCAATGATTAGACTGCAGACTGGATGCAAAAAAAATCAGACACAGAGCTCAAACAACAGGCATCTGTTGACACAGCCCATATTCCACACTGTGGCTGGAACTGCAGTAAGAGAAACGACTGCACAACTCACTCCCATCCTCAAGCGGCCCGTTTCTCCAGCTCATCTTATTTTTCAGCATTAAGTTAATTAAAAGCAAAGCAGAAAATAGGTTGGACTAAAAAGAGAAACACACTTATGTAACTGAAAGTTAAAAGAAGTTACTTCCCAGCTGCATTAAGGCCGTTCTCCATAGAAATGCAGTAATCTGCGGAGATAAAATTAACAACCCGCAACTCTGTTTAAGCCAGAGGACACGGCATTTGCTTCAGAAGTTGCACAGAAAAAGCCAGAAATCTCAAATCACTTTACAACCAAATTTCAGGTGCAGATGCTGCTGAACAATCACTATCAGATTTCACTGCTACATAAGCCTCCCCCCTGAGGCTGAGCCCTGAAAGGCACCAAGTCCCATCGCTTTGCTGGAATATGAAAAGCTGTAACTGTATTTACCTTATCTTTATTACCCACCACATCTTCTCAGTATGTTGGCAAATGATCTTTCTTGGAAAGTCTAGATCTAGGAGACTGCTTAAACCACGAGCAGTGCAGGAAGTCTCAGGCTTGGCAGCAGTTTGGGCTACAAGGAAACGGAGATGCAGAAGCTGAAATCACACCAGTGCTTGGCACGCACACACTGAACAGCCACTCTGACAACCCTCACAGCACAACCAGCCAGTACAGGGCACAGCAGCTCCTCAGCAGCTTACCAGGCACTTGCAGCTTCCATTCAGAATGCACAGCTATGTACTCTGGGCACAGATAAAACGTCAAACTGAAGCATTGCAGGTATTCAGAATCTATTTAATAGTGGGACACCAAAGAAGTACTACACATTGTTTTTTTGAGCACATTAGATTTTGATTTAAGCAATTGCAACAGATGCAGCAG